TTGGCTCATGTACAGCTAGTTCACCGTCTTGAAAGGAAGAGACGCAGCAATGAAATGGTGCTCCACTCAGTCCGCCCATACGATCAGCGTGAAATGTGCAATTAAGTCACAGAAAAACATGGTCATTTGATCGCCGTCAACGCGACTGTTTCAATTAATGTGCTATGGCTCACTATGAAAACCTCATTCGCTTTGCTCTAACTCTCAAACTGGTCCTGAGCCAGCACCCATTAAGACAACCTCCTTACAAGTATCGGACCGTACGATAAGATTTAGTTAGGAGGGTTTAGCCATCATGACGAACCTCTTTTGCACTAAACGTCATACATGGCGCAATCTCTTCTATATTGACTCGATCCATGAACGGATGATGGGCTAAAGGATGTCCGGCGTCACGCCATGATGTGAACTCGAACATTAGTAACGGATCCACCTTAACGATATTCTGCTGCACTTCCAACCTATAGAAGTACAGCCTCGTCACTGCGGATTATGGGGCGTGTCAGGAATGGGTTTGACGCGACGACAGCCCTATTTTTTTCTTTTTGCTTCGGCGATCGACAAGGACCGTATCATATTTTTCGTATCAATTGCTTTCACCAATTGTTATGGCTAAAGTGCTCCAACAACAGGAGAGCGGACTGCCGCCGCGCCAAATCCAGCCTCGCTCTGACACGCCCCGTCATCCACAGCGAACAAGGCTATGCGAGTCTTCAGAATGAAACCTTTCGAAAATTCAAAAAAACTTGCATAGTTCCCACTACTGGTACTGAACATACTTCTTCAACTGCTTCTGCCTGCTTCTGCTCAGTTTCTCGTTCCTTTTCACGTGAAAACGAGGCCGTTGACGGCGGCAGTGTGGACGATTTCCGCGTAGGAGCGGCCCCAGATGAACTGGACCGCTTCGCTGAGGCTGAAAAACCGAAGTCTTACCAGGAAGGTCGTTCAGGGCGTGCCCCGCTTTTTCGAAACGGTTTATTGCACTTTGTAGGGCCTTGCCCATGAACCATAAAAGTGGGCTTCGTTTTGGCTGAGCGGCCCCTGGAATGCCAAAAAAGGAGCGAAAAAGAAACCTATGGAAACTGATTGTTTTTGAGCCTCTACGAGCTGTAAACCGCTTGAAACTTTGACCAGTTGCTGAATGGAGGGACCCTATAAAGGTACTATCGGAATCGAAGAGAAAAGTAGTCGGGGTATGGGGTCTTACTTGTGGCACGTAATCAAGCGTGAACGGCTTCATGGAATGGTTTCTTCAACGATCGGAGGAATCAGCATCGATGGTTCCCTGAGCTTCATTGTGTTTAATCTTGCTGTAATCACGAGATTGAGCGATAACAGGTCTGTGATGCCCTTAGATGTCCGGGGCTGCACGCGCGCTACAATGGAAGAATCAGAACGATCGGAGGAATGTTCAGCAACAACGATCGGATGGCCTAGTGGATAGCGTGAAGGATTCTCAAGCGGACAGTTGGGGTGGGGTTGATGGTTCGACTCCCCTCGGCGTGCGAGTTTTTGCATTTTTTATGTTTTGCTGTTTTCGCGTTCAAATATGTCTGTGCGTGAGTATGCGTTCGATAACTGCCATTTATGGGCACATTTTAAATGGGAACACTCCATGAATCAGTGCTATTCAATTATTACAGGTTTTACATACCATTAAGCAAACTCGTAATTCGAAAATTGACTCTTACTTTAGGTCAACTCCCGAAATACGAATAGTGGACTTATTTGTGGCTACGGGTGCCATTTATGCACTATATGAGTTGACATGTTCCCAATGAATGCGTTTGCTACACACAAGTAAGGGATGTGTAGCGCTACCCAGGCGCCAAATTACGTCGGCGCCGAAAATAAGTGTGAAAATCATGATCGGGGCCATCGATTACCCCTGTAAACAATCTTTCAGCCAAAAAATTTTTTCGACTTTTTTGGGTGTGTGCGTTGGGTTGTGCCCGACAGTCTTTCCATAGAAGTCTACAGTGCCTCGCCATAGGGACCCCTTTTATTAATATCCATTAAAAGTAACAATGCCGATGAAATTCATGCAAAGAGGAAGGAAAGGGAGGCATTCCACCAGGTTTGCTGTCCTGCCCGGCGGCCTGCTACGTCGTCGTTCCATCATCGTCTTACGAAGATGGATACTCCGGTCACTACAAAACTGCCAGACAAATAAATCCACCAATAACTCCCGAAATCGAAAAAGCTTTTTTTGGCTTAGAAAGTTCGTCCATCAGGGTAGATCGTATGGTCTAATTACGAGTTTTGTGACGCACTTATTTTCGAGACGTCTGGATCGCAAAATTTGGCGCCCAAGTATAAAGCGCTTAACGCTCCTCAATAATGGGTGTTACTAGTACCGACCACTTTCCATCTACTTTTTTGGCGTTCCTGGAGCCGCACAGCAAAAACGAAGCCCACTTTTATGGTTCATGGGCAAGGCCCTACAAAGTGCAATAAACCGTTTTGAAAAAGCGGGGCACGCCCTGAACGACCTCCCTCGTCAGCGAGATATAACGGTGATGAGATTCATGTTCTACACTGCCCTCCACACATTCTTACTACTTACATGTAGAAAAAGCTTTGACCAATGCTGATTATGCATCGGCAGTGATGTGCTGTTAGGAAGTGAATTCTGACCCAAGCCAGGTCGTTGAAACGAGGCAACTTCTAAGCAGCCACATTCAGGCCGAAAGAACCCTTCAAACCTGAAAATCCATTATGTAAATGAATTAGTTGCGACATTCATGAAACACGTTCCGGAGGTCAACTCGCCGAGTCAACCAGTCAAACTTGCCACCCATCTGTCTGCTTCTCAACTGGGAGAGCAAAATCACGGACACGGTATCGGCTGGTACCGCAACATTCAGAGTGGGGGTCAAATAGCTTATGCGGAAACATGTTTCCCAACACGTTTGTGGGAAACAGACTGATCAGCATTGAAAAAAGCCTCAGAACTCGGGGGGGGGGCGGAGGAATCATAGTTCAAGCGACCAATTGGAAACAACGGTAAAGTCGATTTGATTTTACCCGCCCAGTGTGCACGATCGCGCCGCCCTCTCGTCAAAAGGCCGAGCTTCTCCGCAACATTCGTCCAGCACACTGATCACTTTCACTCACCTTTTTTTTTCCAGGTCCCAAATGTAGAACCGAAAACAGCACTCCGCCACTGATTTGTCAGCGGGATTTAACAGCGCGCTAGCCTCGACGAATTTTCGCGCTCGGCTCCGCCCACCTCGACATACGCTCCGCCCCCTCCCAGATGCTCTTCCGTCTTCTAATCCGCTGAACCCTTGCTTGCGCAACCCCACTTTCCTGCCTGGAGTGCTCTGACCGATCTTTACGAGTTATTGAGTTTGGCCCCGCTCAGTCTTAACGAAAGCTTCCCAAAACGGGCTGATTTGTCTTGCATCTCTCAACCGGCAACCCCTTGATGCATTTGATTGACTTTACCGCTCTCTGGATCTCTCTCTACATAGACTTTTTTGCAGTCTCTGAACTCCAAGTTAATGAATCCCGTGGGAATCACCGCCCATCACATGTACGCCCTCCATTTTCGGATGTATCTCCCCCAATCAGTTGGCCAACCCCTTCCTAATCTTAATACACTTTCCCCCGACTCTGGGACTCTGGGCTGTTCTGGAAGCGAATCATAATTTTTTTTCTGTGAATCGCTAACTTTTGGGGAATGACCCGCCCACTATGGGTGGCGCTCAGCCATGAGCAATGGGACCTGGGTGCTCTTTACATCTTGTCCCATGCCCTGCAATATAAACAGTAACAATTAACAACCAACCTGTAACCTTGACTCGTTCAGCAGTTTTTCTGATCGTTCGCGGCGTTCCTCAGCATAGTTCACCATCCGATAAGCCTCCTAGAAAAGAAAAAAAAACTGTTGCAAAGGGGTGGATTTCGAGTACACAAAGCCTTACAGAACGCTCGATTACGCAATAATGCCGGTAATTCAACTATTAGGTCATCCCATTCAAAAGTGCCGAGACATATAGAGGAATGGCAGAAAAGCAAAGGGGATAGAGCAGCGGGCTACTATACCATTTGGAGGCTAGTACCTTTAGCTATGTATCTGTGAAATTTGGCGAACCTACCCACAGAAGAAGTTCTCGAGAAATTGAAAAGAAGCCCGAGTGGTGAAAATCAGCGCCGGATTTTCAAATCAGGCGTCATAAGAGGGAAGTGCGCTGCTCAAATTTGACCTGCGCCGGACCAGTAGTTGTGTGTAATGGTGTTCTCGAATACAAGGTGGAAGATTCGGTTCAGGAGCCCGAAGAAGGAAGAAAAAAAATTTCTTTTCGTGGATGGTCCATAATATTCATCCTGCACAAGAAAAAAGGGTGGATGAAGTCAAGCGCTGAATGTCTGATCACAGAGCCTGGACCTTTGTCGAGCTTCCCCGCGAGACTGACATCCCTGCTGCAACTGCTGCCCGAGTTATGTCCGATAAACTGAGGATGGTCAAGAGGGTGTGCGCATGGGTACCTAATTTTCTTGTAGAAGCACGAACGCAGTACCGATTCTGTGCCTCTAGCAGTAATGTTCTCAGCATGAGATGTCACTCACGACTGTGAAAACCC